TTTTTGGGGTTTTTTTTTTTTTTTTTTTTTGGTCTTTTTTTCCTGTAGCTTTCGGAACCTTGTTTTTTTTTTTTTTATTTGTTATGCATATTCATAGGGTACAAAGCTGACTGTCACCACATGTGCCCAAGATGTGATGATCAGATCAATACTATTGGCAAAACCAGTACCACAAATTGCAGCTGTTCCCGTGCCCCCCACCCAACCTATCTCTGGCCTACCCCCCAACCCCTGGTACGTTCTCTCCCTCTGCAAATCCAGCACACCCTATGGTCTTTCTTTCCTTCCCTCTTTCTCTTTTAGGTCTCACTTATGAGTGAGTCCATGTGATATTTTCCCCTCTGTGCCTGGCATTTCACTTAACATAATTTTCTCCAAGCTCGTCCATGTTGCTGCAAATGGCAGAATTTCATTCTTCTTTATGGATGAGTAGTATTCCATGTGTAGATATACCACAGTTTCCTTGTCCAGTCATCTGTCGTTGGACATTTAGATTGATTTCAACTCTTGGCTATTGTCAATAGAGCTGTGATGAACGTGAGAGTGCAGGTGTCCCTTCAGCATGATGATTTCCATTCCTTTGGATGTATACCTAGAAGTGGGATTCCTGGATTGTATGGCAGTTCTATCTGTAGTTGTTTGAAAAAACTCCATACTGTTTTTTCCTAGTAGCTGTACTAGTTTACAGTCCCACCAGCAGTTCAAGAGGCTTCCCCTTTCTCTGCAACCTCATCAGCATTTGTTATTCTCTGTCTTTTTTATTATAGCCAGTCTAACTGGGGTGAGATGATATCTCAGTGTGGGTTTAATTTGCATTTCCGCAATGATAAGTGATGTAGCGCATTTTTTTTAAGGACCTATTGGCCATTTGTATGTCTTCCTTTGAAAAATATCTATTCATTTCCTTTTCCCATTTTTTAATTGGGTTATTTGTTTTTTTACTGTGTAGTTGTTTGAGTTCCTTATATATACTTGATATTAATCCCTTGTTGGCTCTATAGTGTGCAAATGTTTTTTCCCATTCTGTAGGTTGTCATTTCAGTCTGTTGATTGTTTCCTTTGCTGGGGAGAATCGTTTTAGTTTGATATAATCCCATTTGTTTTTTCTTTTGTTGCTTGTGCTGTTTTGTTTTTTCTTTTTTTTTTTTTCTTTAGCTTTCAAAACTTAGTTTTCTTTTTCTTTTTGTTTTTAATTTAAAAAATTTTTTTTGGATCCGAACCCTTGATTTAGGTGTTATTAGCATTACACTCTAATCAACTGAGCCAGCCCAGCCAGCCCCAAACCTCGTTTGAAAACTTCATTCTCGGTGAGGTTTCTCAATGCCCCAGACAGGATGACGCGTGGAAAAGCTGTGCTTCCCGTGGCTTTCTAAACGCTTCCGCGCGGCACTCAGCCACTGCAGTGTCTCCATGGTTCCCTAGCGAGCTCAGGGTCCAGCTCTCTGTTCCTCACTGCTAGACCCCGGGCCTGTGTCACTGCCAGCACAGTGTCAGCAGAATGAGTGACGGGGCGGGAACTTCTCAGTTGGGGAGTTGATGCTGCTGGTTGGGTGTAAGAGATACCAGTGCTGATACTGAAGTTCTCTCTGTGATGACTGGATCTCTGCATTGCGGATTCTCTGCTGCTTGCCTGGGTGACCCCACACAGTCTTTGCTTCCCTTGTGCCCACCCTGGGCCGCTCTCACTGGTCCCTTCCTCAGCTCTCCTGTTCTTACTCACCAAAACTCTATTCTGACAGCCCCCCTGCCCCCTGGAAAGGTGCCCGTAGGTGATCCATTGATACAGGATATTACCGTGCACAATTCTCAACTGAAAAAAATGTCAATGTCCTTTTTTTATGTCGCAGTAATTTTAAATTGTATATAATTGCAGAAGATTTGAGTTGGGCGACTGCACTGGTGGCGGGGCGGGGCAATAGGCTGTCCTGACCGGGAGGCACATTCACGCTGGTCACAGATTTGGGGCACAGGCCAGTTACCTTGCTCGGGTAGGAAGAGGCTCCATCCTTGCCGAGAGGGGCCTCAGCTTAGCCTTGGCCCTACTGCTGCCGAAGAGCGCCACGTCGAGTGTGCACCTCCTTTCTAACTATGCTCCTCAGCGTGGCTCTTGGGGGGGGCCCGTTAGGGAGCAGCGATTTGAAAGCACACATACGTGGCTTTACGGTTAGTCACAAGCTTCTGCTGTCTCTTTCTAACAATATCCCGTCTCTTTGTTGGCTTTTTCATAGGAGGTCCTCCAGAACTTATACCGCACCAAGTCTTTCCTGTTTGTGGGCTGTGGAGAGACCCTTCGTGATCAGATATTCCAGGCTCTCTTCCTTTACTCAGTGCCAAATAAGGTGGATTTAGAGCACTACATGGTTGTGCTCAAGGAGAATGAAGACCATTTCTTTAAGCATCAAGCAGAGATGCTTTTGCATGGAATTAAAGTAGTATCCTATGGGGACTGTTTTGACTATTTTCCAGGATATGTGCAAGACCTTGCCACTCAGATCTGCAAACAGCAAAGTCCAGGTATGGGGTTTTGTCTTCACTTCTTAAGTACAAAACTTGTAGGGTTCTTTCGGTTGCCTTTTCCTTTCTTTCTTTCAAGATATAATTCATACCATAAAATTCACTAGTCTTCGTTTTGTTTTTTTTTAAATGCCTCTGTGTCATTTAAAATTAGAAGATTGATGTATTTGGTATGATAGTAACAGTCTGTAAATAGAACTTTAAAGTAACTTTAACGTGCGCAGCTGTGCACACATTTATAGTTGGACACACTTATTCACATCTCAGGTTACCTTAACTGAGAAAGAAAACTGCTGGGCCAGCTTTATCAGCTGTGATACTTAAAACTGAAAGATGCAGATATCTCATTCCTTTATCTTGTCACTATATTTATTTATTTATTTATTTATTTCCCTTTTCCTCTTTTTTCGTGACCGGTAACAGGATCGCAACCCTCGGTGTCGCGCCCGCACCGCACTCAACCAGTGAGCGGACCGGTCTCTATATGGGATCCGAACCCTCGGTGGGAGCACCACTGTGCTCCCAAGTGCCACACTCCACCGAGTGCGCCACCGGGCCGGCCCTTGTCACTATATTTAAAAGTTAAAACTTTAAAAGCATAAAATGATTTTATAAAGACTTTTATTTCTTTATTTGAATAACATATTTTTCCTGTTCCGTTGAGTACAACACACCTTTCAAGCAATGCTCCTTGGCCCTTTTAGGGAATTGTTCATCTTGCCAGGAATGAGCAGGATAATTGAGAAATTCTTAAACTTGGTCACCTTGACACAAGGGAGTAAACAGCTTTGGTTTGGTATCATAAAACATTGATGATGGCAAGCTTGGAAAGGTATGTATCAACTGTCATTTAATCATAATAGGAAACCCAGACACAGTCACCTGCGCAGTTAGGTTAGCCACAAAGACATTGTGTGTGACCAGCTATGAACTTGAAGACCCACGGGGCTGGTGATGATAAGAAAATAGGCATTGGCACACATTCCAGCATCTTCCTCAACTTTGAGTTTTAATCCTTTTTAGAGATGTTTCTTTCTGTGCATCCTCTCTCCTTTCTCATCTACCACTCCAGGAACTTTATATAGAAAGGTGGTTTTTCTTTGTGTTGGTCTCAGATGCTGATGAGTTATTATTATTTTTTTTTAAAGATGACCAGTAAGGGGATCTTAACCCTTGACTTGGTGTTGTCAGCACCACGCTCTCCCAAGTGAGCTAACCGGCCATCCCTATATAGGGATCCGAACCCGTGGCCTTGGTGTTATCAGCACCGCACTCTACCGAGTGAGCCACGGGCTGGCCTGGACCCCAACATTTTGAAGCTTGGATTGGGTTTCTGGCCTGACAGCAGAGCAAAATGCACCATTTAGCATGTCCTAGTAGTGGCCCTGGTGCATCGCTCTGCAGAGGCAGGGGGGCTGTCGCATCTCTGCCCCAACCACTGCCTCTCCTGCCTCCACACCCATGACTCCCCAGAAGACCAGAACCTCATGTGAACCCCAAGTGAGCTTGGGCTCCTGGAGTGTGTGGCTGAGTGGCTTCCTGTCCCTGCTGAGGCCTCTTCCTAGGCCCTGGCAGCTGAGTGGATTCGACAAGCTGCCTGGGGACTGAAAGGACATTGGGATTTTTAATCTGTGACTGTGTCATGAAGAATAGTTGCATTTGCATTCATGGAATTCCTCTCTTGATGCGAGAGGAGGCTCACTGACGGTGACAGTAATATCACCAATCGCAGGTACCGCACTGCGCTCCCCATGTGCCAGCTGACTCTAGGTATGTCACGTGGTTGTTCAGTGAGTCCTCATGTCAGCCCTGGGAGGTGGAGCAGAGAGGGCAGCAGGTAGCCCAGGAGCCCACAACCAGCACGTGCCAAGCTGCACCAAAGCCCGTCGGCAGTCACTGCAGCCCTGCCTGCAAGCAGCCCGCAGGAGGGCCCTGGAAGTTGTGTTCTGCTGACTGTTTTTCTTTCTTCTTCAGATGCTGATCAGATGGACAGCACCACGTTATTGGGTAAAGCAGATCTTTATTTTTGTCAGCCTGTTTTTTTTTTTTTGTCTTTTGTCTTTTTCCGTGTCCGGCAACAGGATTGTACCCCTCGGTGTTGCTCCCGCGCCTCGCTCAGCCAGTGAGCGGGAACCGGTCTGTATGTGGGATCTGAACCCTCGGGTGGGAGCGCCGCCGCGCTTCCCAAGCGGCGCACTATCCAGTGCGCCACCGGGCCGGCCCTTGCCAGCCTGTTTTTTGCCTACATATTCCATTACCTTCCTGCCACTACTTATAAAATCATAAAAGTATACTTCGCACATTAAATAATTACCTTGTATTAAAACAGCCCCACTAGAGATGATAAATAGCAATTTCTGTCTAGTCCCTGCCACAATGAAGGGACTAAAAATCCATCCCTTTACTGGGAAGCCGATTAATCTGCTGGTACTTGAGAATCGATAACTTCGTATAATGTATGCTATACGAAGTTATTACGCCCTCGGGTGGGAGCTCCGCCGCGCTTCCCAAGCGGCGCACTATCCAGTGCGCCACCGGGCCGGCCCTTGCCAGCCTGTTTTTTGCCTACATATTCCATTACCTTCCTGCCACTACTTATAAAATCATAAAAGTATACTTCGCACATTAAATAATTACCTTGTATTAAAACAGCCCCACTAGAGATGATAAATAGCAATTTCTGTCTAGTCCCTGCCACAATGAAGGGACTAAAAATCCATCCCTTTACTGGGAAGCCGATTAATCTGCTGGTACTTGAGAATAATTTCCTGTCCTGGCACCAAGAGTTCCAGAGGAATTAGAACAAGGTTCTGTTTGTATTGTACCATTTAGTGCAAGATGTAGCAACCTAGAGCCATGCCTCCCACTTCAGAAACTTTAATTGCAAGGGTCTAAGCTTTCGGGTAAAATGTTTCTATTTAGTCCTTTTTTGAAATGTGAATGTTCTTCTTGCTGGGCTCAACTCTCCCTGTTCATAAATTAACAAGACCCAGTAGTTACCAGCATCCTCCCGTGGTGAACTGGTCACCAGCTGTCTCCACTTTCTGAGTGAGTCGGGTTAAAAGTTGCTCTGGCTAGTGGAGCAGAGGCCTTTGCGTGCAGCCCTGTTTTCTCTGCCTGTTTGGCCCAGTGTATCCAGAGATAGGAAAATGTGTATCAGGGCTGGCCAGTTACTCAGTTGGTTAGAGTGGTGCTGATAACACCAAGGTCGTGGGTTCAGATCCCCGTACTGGCCAGCCACCAAAAAAAAAAGAAAGAAAATGGGTGTCAGTGTGGGGACTGCTGACATCACATCCACGTGGTGATGTGGGTCAGTTCAGGAATCATAAAACAGTTGCACTCAGCTCTCCATTTCCACCCTCTTTCCATGTGAAAGGACATATTTACTATAGTTGTCGTCTCACTTTAATGTGACCCCCAGAACCATAGTCTTCTGTTGAAAAAAGCATTAACTTCATTGATATAATCTGTAGCGTATGGCAGAGATTATTTGGCCAGTGCTTCGAAGCAATCAGATTTATAAAGTGGTTTTTAGAGGGTAGACTTTGGAATAGATAAGCTTTTTAATGTTTTCATCTTTCAGGTAACGCATGTCAGGATAGTGCAAAGAGGAATTTAGAAGAGAATGGAATTGAAGTTTCAAAAAAACTCAGACAATCAGAGACCGGTATTGTGTTCTTTCTTTTTGTGGGGAACCCATCTCAGGTCTGTCTTGTTGGTGGGTGTTTTCACTCATGGAGTTTTCTTTTATGCCCTTCACCCCTTGGTGGGAGGGACGATGCATACATTGTGTCAGGGTCAAGAATCTGACCTCTCACCCCAGCCCATTCCAACTGCCCAGAGTACCCCCTTTAGAATTTCTGTTGATTAAGTAAGCACGTTATTGGCGAAAAAATACACTGAGAAAGTGCACACATTGTAAGGCCAGCTCATTGAGTTTTCAAAGTGAATATACCTCTATAGTCACACCCAGTGATTACAGAAACATGTTGTCAGGAGTCCCCTGCTGCTTTCCAGTCACTCCCCCACCACCCAAGGGTGACCAATGTCCTGACTTAGCTCACCTTCATCTCAAGAGAAAACCACTTTAAGTCATTTGGCTTTGTTACCTCTATCATTGACTAAGATTTATTTAAACTGTTTATTAATATTTAAACTGTTTAAACTGATTTAAATGGACTGTCTCTGTTGACACCAGGAAAGGTGGCCTGGCGCACTTGCAGTGCCACCTCCCTCCTTTCCTCCTCCTCCTCCTCCCAGGTTTTACCAGTATCTTCCCACCTCCCGTTTCTCATCTCTTCCTGAGCCCACCAGCTTTTACATTCTCAATATCGATTACCATGGTTACAGGACAGAAAAGAAATAAGACCCCCAGTCTGTCTGTAGGTTGATTCTAAAAGTTGGAAAACAAAAGCATTTCCTGTATTAAAACAGTGCCAGCATTTCCTGGTCAGCTAACCTGCGTTGTGTTCATGGGCCCAGTGTCGTGACTACTGTGCCAGTCGCAGGGCATGTTCTCAGTATGAAGGTCAAGTATGCTTTTTCCTTATACTCCATTCTCCCATTTTTGATTGTTTCTTATTGGGATCTTAAGATATTTGCGTTGCTTTTTATTTTTTGAGGAGTTTTTAGATTCCTCTGTCCTCCTTGTTGTCCAAAAAATAACGCTTCACAATATCCTGAAATTCCCTGAGACACCTTTCACTTGTGCACCTGCTGGACTGCGGCACACTTGCCGCCCTGGAGCTCCCCTGCCTGTGCCCTGCAATCGGCGCCCCCGTCCATTCTGCCAGGTCCTCCTCAGGTAGCTTCCGCAGGCCCTGGGCGTGGAGGGTCAGCTCTTCAAGGGCTGTGTGTGTGCAGGTGTCTATTCGTGGTCCTCCTGCTCCATAGATGGTCTGAGTGTCGGATCCTTGGTTCATGATTTCCCCTGGAACGCCACTGTCTTAAGTGCCGGGTTCCCTGTGAGGAGGGTCTGCTGTGAACCTAGTTCCCAGTGATGTGGGTGACCTGTTGTTTTCCTTTCTGTAAGATTTTAGGATCTTCTCTTCTCTTGATGTGTAGAAATTTCACCAGGATATATTTAGGTGGTAAGTTTTTTTCTCTTCCTTTTCTCCAGGTCTGTCTGGAATAATCTGATTTCCTTGATTCTTCTTCTCTCCAACTTCTTTCTCTGTTCTCTCTTCCTGGAATTCATACTACAGTAGTTGGGGCTTCCTGGATTGATTTCTACTACCTTTTTAAGTTTTCTCTAATGTCTCTTAATTTTCATTTTCTGCCTCCATTTTTTCAAAAACTTTCTGGGGGATTCTTAAAATTATGTTCTAGCCCTTGAGTTAAATTTTTGACAGTGTGATCTTAAACTTCTGAGGGCTCTTGTTTTCTGACTTATTCCTTCTCCTAGAATTTGTTGTTTTATGACTATGATATTTTTTCAGATTTTTGGAGACACCAGAGGCCTTCTGTCATCTGACTCTACTCCATTCCTGGAAACACTGGGATAGAGGATTTTCAAATAACAGAGTTTGTTTTTTATTACTTTAGATAAAAAATCCTCAGTAAGACACTCTTAAACGCTTATGTAACAATCCACCACGAACTTGTGAGAGCTATGAAGCATTTAATATGAGGGTAAAGGGCTGGCTGGTTAGCTCAGTTGGTTAGAGCGTGGTGCTGATAGCACCGAGGCCGCCCCGCCCTCCCGCAAAAAGAAAGAAATGTGGGGGTGTATCAATTACCTACTTATTAAACATTAAAGTTCTTCAGTGGGTATGTGTGAAGCAGTGCTGTGGTGCTGCGTTTTCCTTCTATACCACAGGAACACGTACGGTTCAAGTAATCTGTTGTAGACACAAAGATTTACAGTGAACGCAAATAACAGTCAAACAAAATAAATAGGCAGTTTTTGTTTTTTTTTTTCCTTTTTGTCTTTTTTCGTGACCGGCAACGGATCACAACCCTCAGTGTCGCACCCATACCGGACCGGGACCGGCAACGGGATCGCAACCCTCGGTGTTGCTCCCGCACCTCACTCAGCCAGTGAGCGGCCGGTCTGTATGTGGGATCTGAACCCTCGGCGGGAGCGCCTCCGCACTCCCAAGCGGCGCACTGTAGCAGTGCGCCACCGGGCTGGCCCAAATAGGCAGTTTTTAAAAATGGTTACCTGCACCATGAGTTGTTACCCACTAGGACTGGTGGCAAGAGGAGACGGAAGGCTGTAGCGTCCTGCCGTCCAGCTGCGGGTGAAGGCACGAGAGCGTTGGCGATCCTTTTGGGAGAGGACAGCGGAAGGACTGCTGCCAGTCTGGGGCTCTGCAGCCTCGTTTAGATTTTATACTTCAGTGCACGTGGGCACACATATCTTTAGAGGGAGAATTCAATTTTGATAGTGTTTTGGATAAAACTCTTTGACGTCTGTTAGCAAATATTTGGATTGTGAGTTCAGCTAGTAGAGGTGCTTGAAACTAAAATAAAACCAAAACTAGTGTTCTTTGCTGTTTTCTCCAGGGCGAGTGGTTCTTTGCCATGAGTCTTTTTCGTGTTCCTTGTTTTCCTCATGTCTGGCTCCCCAGTTGCCTGCTGGTACTTAAGGCCGGCCCAGGTGACTGCTCTCAGTAGATAGTGTTGATTTCTCTTGGTGCTGCTGTGTGTACATATGTTTTATCCCTCAGTTGTCTATCTCCGACTGGTGTTGTGTACAGTGGGTGGCAGGGCTTGTTGTCTGGTAGACTTTGCCATAGAGCCGTGGGCAGGGTTCCCCTTTGATGCCTTGTGGGAGCTTTGCTCCTGGGTGCCAGCACCCACAGCAGCAGCCCTGCCTCTCCCCAGGCAGTTATGGCTCCTTAAGGAAGAGCCCTAAGAGTCTCTCTCTCTGGTGCAGAAAGATTTGGCCTGTTCTGTTCTTGGCCATACCTGTAGCCTGGAGAGCCCAGAGGAATCGAAGGTTGGGTCTGCATGGCAGCCCCAGTGTGTGTGCTGAGCCTTCACCCTTCTTCCAGAAGGCTCCCACTGAATGTGTTGGAAGTTCCCCAACCTCACTCTGTGAGAAGGGAAACAGCGTTCATGGTCATGGGTTGAGATTTCCACAGATCTTTGTCAACCTAATGTCATATTTTATTTGATCCCCTGATGGTATTTATAACTCTGCAAGGCCACTTCTAGACAGTGGCTACTGTTTCCATCATGGAGGGTCTTTCAGAGGGTTTTTTTTTGTTTTTTTTTACAATTTTTAAAGAAAAATTGTAAAGCAGTTTCTGAAATGGAAATCTCATTGCAAATACTTTTTGTAGCTGAATTTTAACATTTTGGTATTCCTTTTTGTTTAAACAGATGATGCTGGAGGGTCTTGAAATCTTTAAAACCAGTAAAACCTTCAACTTGAAAACCAGCCTTCTCGAAATGGAAATCTCATTGCAAATACTTTTTGTAGCTGAATTTTAACATTTTGGTATTCCTTTCTTTTGTTTAAACAGATGATGCTGGAGGGTCTTGAAATCTTTAAAACCAGTAAAACCTTCAACTTGAAAACCAGCCTTCTCAAAAAAAAAAAAAAGAAAAGAAAGAAAAAAAAGAAGAAAAGCAGCTTTCTGTAAGCACAGTGCCATGCCCAAACTATGAAGAGTGTACAGAGGACTCCACACGGATCTCAATTCTAAACCGTCACCTACCCCAAGAGAGCAATGTTGCGGTGTGGCCCTCAAGGCTGGGTGAAAGAGCTCCATTGTATGTGTTTAACCACAATGGAGGGTGACACGTACACACTTCAGGTACACTTTGTAAGGACTGATGGACAGCTACCTCAGGGACCAACATCGGTGGGAAAGGACGTACGGGTATTCCTGACTCCCATTTGACATGCTCTCTTGCATCAAGGTGGTATTTCCCTAATAAAAGGGAGAAGATTGTGAAAACTGTCCAAGCAACAGTAGTTGCCAAAGAGAAAATAAGAACTAGGCTTACATGTTATAATTTTTATGTGGAAACATCTGTTACTGTACAAGGTATTTTAAAGGTATGTTTGTCACATTGTTTAATAGTAAAGAATGAATGGATACTCCAGGCACTGAATCCACTACTGAGAAGGGTATGTTTTTCAAAAGAATGACTAGATCAATAGAGCTTCTTCGGAATTATGCAATTTTAGTAACTCCTGTTCCAGAGAAATCGCAGGGTCTAACTCTGTTACTAAGAAGTGTGAAGTGCAAAGAGCCAGAGAGCCTTTTCTAAAAAGGACAGTTTAGTGTGTGTACAAGTCCACTGTATGACCGATAATTGAGAACGTACAAGTGGGACACAGGACCACGTTTTAAACTTTAATTAGATTATAAATTCCAAACTTTCCAAATCTTTACTCTGTGGGGTAAGGTCTGACCTTTCTGTTCTTATCTCTAAAAATTCTCTTCCTGTGGCCCATATCAAGGGAATTTGCACAGAGTGAGGTAGGCAAAACTTGTAAAGGGCCTGCAGCACTTTAAATGCTTTCAGGGTTGTCTTAAAATGAAGGATTCTCTTTGGAAACAAGCCCTGCTTGGTTTGGTTTGCGGCTGCCCATCTTTGATATGACATTTCTTGCCAAGCCTTGAGACACTCCTCGCTGATGGCGCTGCAGCTCCCACAGGTGCAGAGAAAGTCAACAAAAAGAAACGTAAGGTCGAGGTATAAAGGCAATGAGAGAGAAGCCAGAGACCTACTGAAAACCTTTCCTTTTTTTTTTCTGTTTGAAGTATGGAAAACAGATCTTATTTATCACTCTGGTCATAAATAAAATTTTAATTTCAACCTATGTGCTCAACTTTTCTTTAGTTTTAACATGGCTTGGTATAATATCTGTCCCGACCTGCGGGATAGTCAACGCAGACCCTGGAGGGGGGAGTGGGAATTGGATGGGACAAGAGACACGAGAAATGGAGACAAGACAGTATTCTGATCAAGTCTCATTTATTAGCCAGAAGGTCACAGTTTATATAGACAGCAGGAGGGAATTAGCAGATAAGGAAGTGAGCAACAGATGGTTTACTGAGAAAACCGCAGGGCGGGTTGTTCCGGTAAATGGAAAATTCCCGTTATCTATGGCAAGTTGCAAAGTTACCTACACCCATAGTGCACAGGAGGGGGACGGACGGAAGATAACAGCAAACAAGGCTCTGAGGCCTCCAAGCAATAGCTGGGCGGGCTCGCCGGGCTCTAATGGCTCCGGACAAATATCAAGAGAATTTTTAGCTTGAGTTGCCACTCAGTTGTGAAATCAAGT